ATTGTTTTATTGGTATAAATTTCCCTCTGAGTACTGCTTTTGCTTTATCACCTAGATTTTGGTATGTTGTATTTCCACTTTCGTTTCTTTCAGGAAATTTAAAAATTGCCCTTTTAATTTTGTCATGAACCCATTTGCCCTGCAGGAATATGTTGGTTTGTTGTTTGTTTGTTTGTTTTGTTTTTTGAGACAGGGCCTTTCTCTGTTGCCCAGGCTGGAGTGCAGTGGACCTCCTGGGCTCAAGCAATCCTCCTGTCTGAGCCTCTCAAGTAGCTGGGACCACAGGCGTGGGACACCATGCCTAGCTAATGTTTTGAATTTTTGTAGGTTTGAGACCAACCTGGGCAACAAAGTGAAATCTTGTTGTCCAGGTTTGTTTTGAACTCCTGGGCTCAAGCAGTCATCCCACCTCAGCCAAAGTGCTGGGATTACAGACATGAGCCACCATGCCCAGCAGGAACATGCTTAATTATTATTTGTTTGTGTTTTCTGAGGTTCTTCTTGTGACTGATTTTTAGTTTTATTCCATTATGGTCAGAAACAATAGTTGATATGATTTCTACCTTTTGAATTTGTTGAGACTTGTTTTATGACCTAATATATGGTCTATTCCAGAGAATGTTCCATATACTGATGAAAAGAATACTCTTCAGGAGTTGGGTGAAATGTTCTGTAAATATCAGTCTGGCCTATTTGGCATAGTGTATATTTTAATTCTGATGTTTTCTTTAATTTTCTCTTGGGATGATCTGTCCAATACCGGGATTGGGGTATTTAAGTTCTCTACTATTATTGTATTGCAGTCTGTCTCTCCCTTTAGATCTATTAATACTTGCATTTTATGCTTGGGAGCTGTGGTGCTGGGTGCATAGATATTTATAATAGTTATATACTCTTGCTGAATTGACCCTTTATCATTATATAATGACCTTCTTTGTCTCTTTTTATAGTCTTGACTGGTAGCCTATTTTATCTGATATAAGTATAGCTACTCCCGTTCTTTTTTGGTGTCCAGTTGCATGCAATATCCTTTTCCACCCCTTCACTTTCAGTCTGTGCATGTTCTTAATAGGCGAAGTGGGTTTTTTGTGGGCAGCTTATGGTTAGGTCTTACTTCTGTATTGATTCAGCCACTTTCGCCATTTTAACTGAAGAATTGAGTGTATTTACATTCAGTATTATTATTATTATTATTATTATTTTTTTTTTTTTTTTTTTTTTTTTTTGAGACGGAGTCTCGCTCTGTAGCCCAGGCTGGAGTGCAGTGGCCGGATCTCAGCTCACTGCAAGCTCCGCCGCCCAAGTTTACGCCATTCTCCGGCCTCAGCCTCCCGAGTAGCTGGGACTACAGGTGCCCGCCACCTCGCCCGGCTATTTTTTGTATTTCTTAGTAGAGACGGGGTTTCACCGTGTTAGCCAGGATGGTCTCGATCTCCTGACCTCGTGATCCGCCCATCTCGGCCTCCCAAAGTGCTGGGATTACAGGCTTGAGCCACCGCGCCCGGCCCAGTATTATTATTAATAAGTGAGGTCTTACTAGTGCTATTTTGTTGCTTGTTTTCTGATTGTTTTGTAATTCCTCTCTTCCTTTCTTACTCTCTTTCTTTGAAGTTAAGTGATTTTTTTTTCTGGTAGTATGTTTTAATTTGATGATTTTTATTTGTAGTGAATATAGTACAGTTTTTGGCATTGTGGTTACCATGAGACTTAAAAAGACATAGGTTCAAGAAGTTATTTTAACGAGATGACAGCTTACCTTGGATCACAAAGAAAAGAATAGAAACAAAAGAAAAAAAGAAGAAAAAACCCCTCTATACTCTAACTCCATTCCCTCCACATTTTGACTTTATTTTGTCTCAATTTACATGTTTTTATATTGCCCATTTCTTAATAAGATGCTGTAGCTATTAATGTTTTTGGCAGATTTGTCTTTTGGACTTCATCCTAGAGTTACGAGTGGGCACTACACCACAATTACAGTATTAGAGTATTGTGGGTTTGTCCATGTACTTAATTTTACTCGTGGGTTGTATACCTTTACATGTTTTGTTTTTTCACATTAGTGTTTTTTCTTTCAGGTTGAAGAACTCTCTTTAGCTTTTCTTGTCAGACAGGTCTGTGTTAGTGAATTCTCTCAGCTTTTGTTTGTCTGTGAAAGACTTTATTCCTCTTCTTTGTATTTGAAGGATAACTTTGCTGAATACAGTATCTTTGGGTGGCTATTTTTTTCCTTCAGCACTTTGAACATGTTGTCCCACATCCTCCTATATGGTTTCTTCCTCCTGTACGACCTCTGTGGTATCTGTTTAGAAGTCTGTTGCCAGACAAATTGTAGCTCTTTTGTACAGCTCTTTAATGCCTTGTTTGCTTCTTTTCTTTTGCCACTTTTAGGATCCTGTGTTTGTCCTTGACCATTGAAAGTTTGATTATTACATGCTTTGAAGTAATCTTTTTTGGGTCAAATCTGCCTTGTTCTCTAACGTTCCTATACCTGGATATTTTATCTCTTTCTCCGGTTTTGGAAAGTTTTTATTATTTCTTGAATAAGATTTCTCTCCCCTTGCATTATAGTTAGGCATTATATTATGTAGTGCTGAAGAATAGGCAGTGACATAGTACAAAAAAAAGATACAAAAACAATACATAAATTACAAAGACTCTCTGAGTGATCACATTCAGTAAAAAACAAAACAAGCCAGACAGTGAAGACTAGAACTCCCTTTGAACACTGATAATTCTTAGATTTGATCTTTCGAGGTAATTTTCTGTATCTTGTAGGTGATCTTTGTTCCTTTTCATTCTTTATTTTTTCTCCTCTGTGTATTTTTAAGTAGCCTGTCTTTGAGCTCACTGATTCTTTTTTCTGTTTGATCCATTCTCCTGTTGAAAGCCTCTAATGATTCTTTCTGTTCAGCAAATCTATTTCTTAATTCCAGAATTTCTGTTTGATTGATTAAAAAATTTTAATCTTTGTTAAATTTTTCTAATAAATTTCTGAATTGCTTTTCTGTGTTATGGAGATCACTAAGTTTCCTTTAAACTGCTATTTTGAATTCTTGTTCACAGACTTCACATATTTCTCTCTTGTTAGGGTCATTCACTAGTTCTTTGCTTTGTCCATTTGACTAAGTCAAGGTTTCCCATTTGTTGTTGTTTCTTGTGGATATATGTCTATGTTTTTAAAGTGAAGATTTTGTTATTTATTCTAGTCTTCTCTGTCTGGCTTGTTTTAGCTTTTACTGGATGTGTTTGCTTAGAGAATCTTTCGTGTTTTGCTGTCTTTTATTTTTGCAGTATGTCACTGCCTCCATTTCAGTACTCCATAATATAATGCATATGATGCCTTTAGCCCCAATTTGCCTCAGTTCTAGTAAACAATCAGTGTTATCCATCCTTGATGGTAAGGTCCCAAAGGCCCCTAGGCTGGCTAGGGGCTCGTGCCCAGAGGACCTGTGGCATGAACCTCTTACAGTGTGATGCTGCTGAACAGCCAGTCTGATTTGGTGTCTCCTTTGGCCAAGTTACAAAGCAGGGTTTTTCAGGGCTAGGAATGGTAGTCTTGCATTCCCACTTTGCCTCTGGCTGTTAGGCATATTTCTGCCTTCAGATATTCCCAGTACTTCCCATGAGTCGAGCCAGGGACAGATCTCCTGTCAAGGAGCCCAAGTTGATGGGGAAGCTGGTTGTCCACCTTGATCTTACTTTTTCCAGTGTGGAAACCGTGAGTCAGGGGAATATTTTCCATGTTTGGTGCTGGGCAGATTAGGAGAATGGGAATCAGGAAAATCAAAGTCTAATTCTTTTAACTTCTGCTCAGAGTTTTTTCACTTCTCTGTGGTCTTGAATACTATTTTTTTCCTCATATTTGAGTTCTGGGATATTGCCAGTAATAATCTAGGCACTGTATATTTGTTTTTGGTTTTCTGTGAGGGGGGGTGAAGGCAGCTTGCTTCTATGCCGCCATTTTGGGGCTATTAGGTCAGTGCAAAAGCAATTACAGTTTTTGTACTGACCTAATAGAAGCCTCTGTTCTTAAAATAAATTTAAATAAGAAAACTACATTGGTTAAAACATGTTAAGTAAATGATACATAAAGGTGGCTCTAGGATAGGACAAAAATCCTGATGATGATATGTAAACGATTAAGGGCCAGAAAGCACTGCTGTTTGATATTTAAGTTATTTCCAGTTTTTTTCCCATTATAAATAAGGCTGCAGTGACCACTTTATATAGCTAAATCTTTTTGCATGAACTAAATGTTTTTAGTGTACAGTAATAGAAGACCCAGAAATTCCAGAAAGCAAATTCATTTAGTGCTCTGTGTGTGCGTGTGTGTATGTGTGTGTGTTTTCATATAATCTAAAATCCAGAAATTGGCTAGCACAGTGGCTCACGTCTATAATCCCAGCATTTTGGGGAGGCTGAGGCAGATGGATTGCTTGAGTCTGGGAGTTGAAGCCCAGCCTGGGCAACATGGCAGAAACCTGTCTGTACAAAAAAATACAAGAATTAAATTAGCCAGGTGTGATGACATGTTCCTGTGGTTCCAGCTACTTGGGGGCTGAGGTGGGAGGATCCGTTGAGCCCAGAAGGTTGAGGTGAGCTGTGATGGTGCTGCTGTACTCTAGCCTGGGTGACAGAGTAAGACCCTGTCTCAAAAAGTAAAAATAAAATAAAATCTTGGTGAGATTATATTCTCACCAAGCAGTGAATGACAGTGCCTGATTTCCCTTATTCTGCCTAATTCTGGGCGAATTTTCTTTTATTTAGACATGACGTTTTCAGTTCTTACCCCTCAATATATTTCAGTAGGTTTATTCAGAAATGTTTCTTTGCATTCCAGTAGTTACATTAAAGACTGTAATAATTGTTCTTTATTTTGTCATCATTTTTTTTTAGTGATAGTTTGGTCTTTAAAAGAGAGACTCCCAAAGCTGCTTTTTTCTTGGTGGCAATAAAGAAAAATTATCTTTGACAATAATGGTAATTTTTTTTCTTAGCTTGCCCAGTTTCGACAAAGAAAAGCTCAATCGGATGGGCAGAATCCTTCTAAGAAGCAGAAAAAAAAGAGAAAAACGACAAGCAGTAAACATGATGTGTCAGCACACCATGATTTGAATGTTAATCAATCACAGTGTGATGAAATGTACATAAATAGTTCTCAGAGAGTAGAATCAACTGTGACTCCTGAATCTACAATAATGAGAACTCTACCTAGTGGAGAAATAACCAGTCATGAGCAGGTCTTCTCTGTGGAAGTAAGTATTCTCCCAGATTTTTAATCATTTATGGTTCTCAATGTAAAGTAGTCATAATAACAACAGTCATTAGCAACTGTGCACAATTTGATCATGATTTTTATATCATCTTGAACGTTTTAGTAGTATGGTGACTAAACAGTCGTACCTAAAATATTTTATCACCTCAAAGAGGGAGTTTTGTGAGTTTAATTTAACATTGTTGAACAACTGCAGTACACCAAAGATTGAGCACCAGTGTTACAAAGATGGATATGATTGTCGCTGCCCTTTAGGAAAATTATTCTAGTGGAGAAGGCAGATTTAAAGATATGCAGTGTGCTATGATTAGGCCTTTGCTAGTATGGGAGATAGGTGTCCAACTTCATTTTTGTTTGTTTGTGACTATCCAGTTGTACCAACACCATTTGTTGAAAAGATTATTCTTTTCCCAATGAACTGACAGTGAATATAAAGGTGAGGGTTTATATTTATTCCCTCAGTTATATTCTGTAGATCTGTATGTTTAGCTGTTGCTACTATGCCCCCAAGTCTTGATTAATGTAGCTTTATAACAAATTTTGAAATCAGTAAGTGTGAGTCTTCCAACTTTCTTCTTTTTTGGATTGTTTTGGTCATTGCCTTGCATTTCTGTATCAATTTTAGGGTCAAGTTTTTCTGTTTCTGCATTAAAAACACCAAGGATTTTGACAGGGATTGCATTGAATCTGTTTTGTCATCTTAACAATATTAAATTTTCAACCTATGAATGCAGGATTTTTTATTTATTTAGGTTTTTAATTTTTTTTAATGTTGTAGTTAGTTTTCAGTGTAAATGTCTTACATTTGTTTTGTTAAATATACTCTCAAGCATTTTTAAAACATTTTTATTTATTTACTTTTTGAGATGGGGTCTCACTCTGTCACCCAGGTTGGAGTGCAGTGGCACCATCTCGGCTCACTGCAACCTCTGACACCCAGGTCCAAGCCATCCTCCCACCTCAGCCTCCTGAGTAGCGGGGACCACAGGTGCATGCTACCACACCTGGCTAAAGTTTTGTATTTTTGGTAGAGATGGGATTTCATCATGTTGCCCAGGCTGGTCTCAAACTCCTGAGCTCAGGAGATCCACCCACCTTGGCCTCCCAAAGTCCTGGGATTACAGGCATGAGCCACCGTACTTGGCCTTGTTTTGGTTATTTTATTTTTATTTTTTTTGTGGAAACGTGGCCTCACTCTGTGCCCGGGCTGGTCTCGAATTCCGAGATTCAAGCGATCCTCCTGCTCTGGCTCCCAAAGTGCTTATGCCTGTGAAGTATTATTTATAGGCATGAGCCACTATGCCTGGCCACCAAGCATTTTATTGCTGTTTTATTTCTAAGCATTTTACTGCTTTTTACTGTGATTCTAAATATAATTGTATTCTTAACTTTATTTTCTGATTGTTCATTATCCATGTATAGAAATACAACTACATTTGTATATTGATCTTGTATCCTGTACCTTTGCAGAACTAACTCATCTGTAAGTTCTAATAGTTATGTGTGTGTGTGTGTGTGTGTGTGTGAATTCCTTGGATTTTCCCTGTGTACAAGATCATATTATCTGCAACTAAACTAGAAATGTTTAACTTCTTCCTTTCCAATGTTGATGCTCTTTTTTCTTTTTTCTAATTGCCATAGCTGGAAGATATAGGACAATGTTGAAAAGAAGTGGTGAAAGCAGACATCCTTGTATTGTTTCTCATAATAAGGGGAAAGCATTCAGGTTTTTTTTTAACCATTGAGTTTTATATTAGCTTTTTTTTTTTTTTTTTTTTTTTTTGGTAACTATCCTTTATCGGATTGAGGAGGTTCCCTTTTATTCCTGGTTCATTAAGTGTTTTCATTATGAAGAAATGTTGAGGGTTTTTTTGTTTGGTTTTTATTTTTTATTTTTATTTATTTATGTTTTTTGAGACAAAGTCTCACTTTGTCGCCCAAGCTGGAGTACAATGGGGTGATCTCAGCTCACTGCAGCCTCCACCTCCCAGGTTCAAGCAATTCTCCTGCCTCAGCCTCCTGAGTAGTTGGGATTGTGAGCCATCACACCCAACTGATTTTTGTATTTTTAGTAGACATGGGGTTTCACCATGTTGGCCAAGGTGGTCTTGAACTCCTGACCCCAAGTGATAACGTCCACCTCAGCCTCCCAAAGTGCCGGGACTACAGGCGTTAGCCACCGTGCCCAGCCATTTATTTTATTGTTTTTTGAGACAGGATCTCACTCTATTGTCCAGGCTGGCATGCAGTGGCTCACTCATGGCTCACTGCAGCCTCAACCTCCTAGGCTCCAGCGATCCTCCCACCTCAGCCCCACAAGTAGCTGGAAGTACAGGCCCATGCCACCCCACCCAGCTAATTTGCGTATTTTTTTGTAGAGGCAGAGTTTTGCCATGTTGCCCGGGCTGGTCTTGAACTCCTGGATTCAAGTGATTGCCTGCTTCAGCCTCCCAAAGTGCTAGGATTATAGGCATGAGGCAGTGCTCCCAAATTGAGTGTTGAGTTTTGTTAAATGCTTTTTTTGTGTCTATTTGCAATGATTTTAATATGAAAACCGTTACCAGGGACAAAATATGTTATAGCACACATTTTATATTATATAAATTTAGTCTTTTAAAATATTTTGAGTATTTAAATGGTCTAACATATAGTCATCTTTCTATTTTTCAGAGTGGATAATTGCAATTGATCTATCTTGAAGTTTGCTGATTCTCTGTCCCTCCTACTTAGATCTACTACTGAGGCCTTCCAGTGGCTTTTTCATTTATTTTCCTTTTCAACTCCAGAATTTTTATTTGATTCTTGTATAATTTCTTTGTTTTATTGATATTCTTCATTTGGTGAGGTGTTGTTCTTACAATTTAAATTTTTTTTTGGTCTCATTTTTAGATTTTATTTCCTTTAGCTATTTGACTGTATTTAAAATAGCCAAGTTAAAATCTTTGTTGGCCAGGCGTGGTGGCTTATACCTGTAATCCCAGCACTTTGGGAGGCGGAGGCAAGGGGATTACTTGAGCCCAAGAGTTGGAGACCAGACTGGGCAACAAAGGGAGATCCTGTCTTTACAAAAAGTAAAAAAAATTAGCTGGGCATGGTTGTACACACCTGTGGTCCCAGCTACTCCAGAGGCTAAGGTGGGAGAATCGCTTGAGCCCAAGAGGTGGAGGCTGCAGCAAGCTGTGATCATACCACTGCATTCCAGCCTGGATGACAGAGTGAGATCCTGTCTCAAAAAACAAGACAAAACTGAAAATAACTTTGTCTATTAAGTACAATAACTGTGTTCCTCAGGGACAGTTTCTATTGGCCATTGTTTTTCTTGTGCATAGGCTATCCTTTCCTTTTTTTTTTTTTTTTGTATGTCTTGTAATTTTTGTTTTATTAAAGCTGGAATTTTAAAAATAATGCAGCGTGGCAACTCTACTGCTTGATTTGGCCCAAAGGTGTATTATCTTTTTTTAATATAACAAACCAATATTTTTGGGTTATCTATTCTATAGTTTTAGCATTTTGAATGCAACAACTGTCTTATTCATCATTTAATTCTCAGTACTACCGTTTCTAGTACACAATATGCACTTAATGAATATGAGGGGTTGTATCATGAAAGTGTTTCAGATTTAAAAAATAATCTCGGCTAAGTGCGGTAGCTTATGCCTGTAATCCCAACATTTGGGGAGGCCGAGGCAGGCAGATCACTAGAGGTTAGGAGTTCAAGACCAGTCTGGCCAACATGGTGAAACCTTGTCTCTACTAAAAATACAAAAATTAGCTGGGCATGGTGGTGTGTGCCTGTAATCCTAGCTACTCGGGAGGCTGAGGCAGGAGATTTGCTTGAACCTGGAAGGTGGAGGTTGCAGTGAGCCAAGATCATGCCACTGCACTCCAGCCTGGGCGACAGAGCGAGACTCTGTCTGAAAAGAAAAAAAAGAGAATCTTGTGAGTTTGGAACCACTGTTAATAGCATTTTAGATTACAGGCAAGCTTATTTTTGTTCTTGACCTTGGTTACTACTTCATGGAGAAGGTAGTTTTAGAACTTGGACTTGAATGTTGAATAGAATTTCCATAGGTGTAGATGAGAAAGGAGACAGTGACAGTTAATATTTGTTGAATGAAGGGGTGAAACTCTCTGGGTCTCACCTTTCTAACCATTAAAATGAGATTCTTAGATTAGATGAGAAGGTCAATAGTGAAAATAGTACTTTTGGAGTCAGAAAATTTGGATTTGTTCTTGACTCTTTCCACTACTTCTTTTAGGAAAGCTTGAAAAAGCTGCTCACTTCATACCCAAATCCAGGGATGTGATAGTGAAACAAGAATGACTTTAAAAGTGCTTTTGTAAACTATAAAGGTGTTACAACAACAAAGGTGGTTATTTTTTCTTTAGTTATTACTTTTTTTAGCATCAAGATGTTATAATTTTTCTTTCAGATAAATTGACCTTTTCTTTTTTATTGATTCATTTTAATTATTATTATTATTTTTTAAGACAGTGTCTCACTCTGTCACCCAGACCAGAGTGCAATGGCATGATCTTGGTTCACCACAAGCTCTCCCTCTCAGGCTCAAGCAATTCTCCTGCCTCAGCCTCCCAGGTAGCTGGGATTACAGGCATGCACCACTACCGCCCAGCTAGTTTTTGTATTTTTTTTTTTTTTAAGCAGAGACGAGGTTTCACCATTTTGGCCAGGCTGGTCTCGAACTCCTGACCTTAAATGATCCACCCACCTCAGCCTCCCAAAGTGCTGGGATTACAGGCGTGAGCCACCACTCCTGGCCGAACTTTTCTAACAGTAGCATTTTAGGATTTTGTTTCATTTTAAAGAGGTACAGTAGTTCCTCCTCATTTGTGGATAGTTGTATTATTCCATTTTCATGCTGCTGATAAAGACATACCAGAGACTAGGTCATTTATAAAGAAAAAGAGGTTTAATGGACTCACAGTTCCACATGGCTGGGGAGGCCTCACAATCATGGTGGAAGGCAAAAGGCATGTCTTACATGGCAGCAGACATGAGAGAAATGAGAGCCAAGGGAAAAGGGAAACCCCTTATAAAACCATCAGATCTCATGAGACTTACTCGTTACCACAAGAACAGTATGGGGGAAACTGCTCTCATGATTCAGTTATGTCCCAGCAGGTCCCTCCTAAAACACATAGGAATTATGGGAGCTACAATTCAAAATGACATTTGGATGGGGAACTCAGCCAAACCATATTGAGAGTATAGTCCAGCACCCACAGTGGAGACCTGAAACCACAGATAGTACTGAACTCCACTCATATACTTATGATAAAGTTTAATTGATAAATTAGGCATAGTACTCTTGTGCTTTGGGGCCATTACTTGAATACAAGCACTGCAATACCGCAAACTGCCATACTGTATGACAGTGCATCTGATAATGGAGGTGGTTACCAAGTAACTATTGGGCAGGTAGCATATACTGTGTGGATATGGTGTACAAAGGGACGATTCATGTCCTGGATGGGACAGAGTAAGATTTCATCATGCCACTTAGAACAGTACACAATTTAAAACTTATGAATTGTTTATTTTTGGAATTTTCCATTTTAATATTTTCTAACCACAGTTAACCATGGGTAAATGAAATTATAGGAAGCCATACTATACAGAGGGGGCTACTGTATGAGGATTGAAGAATTTTGTCTTACTTAGTACTTTTGGCTTACAAATGATATGTATATGAGACCCTGTATGAAAGTACCTCTTGATACTTTTATATTTAGAAAAATGCCTACGGATACATTTTAGTTGCGTTATTTTGCCATTGTTATTTATAATTACATGAAAATTTTAAAGATTTGAATAATTTTTACTAGTTTTTCAGTGGTATTTTATATGACTTTTCTATCATATGTTACCAATAGCAATGACTTAGTAAAGTATGATATTTAGCACAAAAAGTCATAATTATATTTGGTTTTTATTTTTGTTTTAGCTGGAAAGTGAAATTTCAACCACAGCAGATGACTACAGTTCAGAGGTAAGACTAAATTATATTGATTTCTAATGTCATAAATAAACGTATTTTACATTATTATTGAAATTATTGATTGTTGCTACTTGATTTCTTGTCACTCATACTTCTCTTGTATTTTTATAAATGTAATGTTAAGTGACTAGCACCTGAGGATTATGTATTACTGACTTTTTTTTTTCGGATTGTTAGCTAAGGTCTTAACTCTGGTTGAATAGCTTGGTGTCTGTTTTAGTTTCTGGAAAGTATTTGATACTGGGTTTCTTAGACATGTGACTATTACAAGGCATCCATATTTAGCACAGTAAAAATATCAAAATTTTTTTGAGACTTTGGATAGGATATTTCATTTTGAGTAATGCTTTTTTATAAATGCTTGAATTCTAGTTAGTCATATGAACTTGTTTATTGAAATTAATGTTTCAGTAGTAGTTTTTACTTTAGGTGATCAAGGTATTTTTCCACTTTAGGAAATACCTTCTTTATGTGTTGGCAAAAGTATATGTCATTTTGTTATCTTTTTCTTATTCTTTTAGATGTGATTGTCATTTCTTTACTCCAGAATTTGTGGAGACTATAAACTATTCTGTTCTATGAATGGTTTAGCAACTCTGTGTATTCAGTAAGTCTCAATTTTTTGTAGGTTTCTAATAGGAAAAAAAAAACCCCTCCATGTTCTTAAATGAACATTTTACTGTTTTAGATTGCTTATAGCAATAAAAACTGCTACTTTAGAAGTTAATGTGTTTAAAAGTTGGAATATACTTACTAGTAATCTGGCCAGGAAAATAATTAGCCAACATTAAATAAATACATTGGTGCCTGATTTAGGCTTAAGTTGCCTTATGGGAAGTATCTTGATTTAAAATCACTGCTTACAATTCAGAGTCTGCTTTTGTGACTTTAAATTTGGGGCACATATAGTTGGCCCATATCCCTGGGTTCTGCATTTGAGGATATGACCAACCACAGATAGAAAATATTCAGAAAAAAATTAAAAAATAGCAGTACAACCATAAAAAAATATAACATTTAAAAATACAGTATAACATCTAAGTACATAGTAATCTTAGAGGTGATTTAAAGTATATGGGCAGATGTCCACAGGTTGTATGCAAATACTATGCCATTAAGGGTCTTGGGCATCCATGATTTTAGTATCCTTAGGGGAGTTCCTAGAACTAATTCCCTTGAAGACACCAAGGGATTATTGCATTTGAAAACCTTTTTTCCTCCATAATGCTGTAATTTTTAATAGCTTGTATTTCTTTTTTTTTTTCCGAGAGGGAGTCTTGCTCTGTCGCCCAGGCTAGAGTGCAGTGGCGTGATGTTGGCTCACTGAAACTTCTGCCTTCTGGGTTCAGTCAATTCTCTGCCTCAGCGTCCCAAGCTGGGACTACAGGCATGCGCCACCACACCCGGCTAATTTTTGTATTTTTAGTAGAGACGGGGTTTCACCATCTTCGCCAGGCTGGTCTTGAACTCCTGACCTCGTGAGCTAACTGCCTCTGGGTCCCAAAGTGCTGGGATTACAGGTGTAAGCCACAGCGCCTGGCTATAGCTTGTATTTCTTGATTGAAAGTCTTAGATGCTTTGGTGCTTAAACTGCCTGTATCTTTGGTGGCACCCCAGAGTTCCACAAAGTGCATTTTTATCTTTACACTAAAGTGAATGTTTTTTAATATGCTAGTGACTGTAGGTCAGACCATCCCATATATGCCCATGAAATTTGGTTAAAATTTGTGTGGTTGTTTTCTCACATTGAGATAATAGAGCAAATTTTAATTTAATTTTTTTGTCATTCTAAGTATTATTTTATGTATGTATGTATGTATTTATTATACTTTAGGTTCTAGGGTACCTGTGCACAACGTGCAGGTTTGTTACATAGGTATACATGTGCCATGCTGATTTGCTACACCCATCAACTTGTCATTTACATTGGGTATTTCTCCTAATGCTATCCCTCCAACCCGACAGGCCCCCATGTGTGATGTTCCATGCTCTGTGTCCAAGTGTTCTCATTGTTCAATTTCCACCTATGAGTGAGAACATGTGGTGTTTGGTTTTCTGTCATTGTGATAGTTTGCTCAGAATGATGGTTTCCAGCTTTATCCATGTCTCTGCAAAGGACATGAACTCATCCTTTTTTATGGCTGCATACTATTCCATGGTGTATATGTGCCACATTTTCTTTATCCAGTTTATCATTGATGAGCATTTGGGTTGGTTCCAAGTCTTTGCTATTGTGAATAGTGCCGCAGTAAATACATGTGTGCATATGTCTTTATAGTAGCATGATTTATAATCCTTTGGGCATATACCCAGTAATGGGATCACTGGGTCAAATGGTATCTCTAGTTCTAGATCCTTGAGGAATTGCCACACTGTCTTCCACAATGGTTGAACTAATTTACACTCCCACCAATGGTGTAAAAGCATTCCTGTTTCTCCACATCCTCTCCAGTATCTGTTGTTTCCTGATTTTTTAATGATCGCCATTCTAACTGGTGTGAGATGGTATCTCATTGTGGTTTTGATTTGCATTTCTCTGATGACCAGTGATGATCATTTTTTCATGTTTTTTTTTTTTTGCATAAATATCTTCTTTTGAGAAGTGTCTGTTCATATCCTTTGCCCACTTTTTGATGGAGTTGTTTGCTTTTTTTTCTATTGTTATTATTATTATTATACTTTAACTTCTAGGGTACATGTGCACAACATGCAGGTTTGTTACATAGGTATACATGTGCCATATTGGTTTGCTGCACCCATTAACTCGTCATTTACGTTTGGTGTTTCTCCTAATGCTATCCCTCCCCCTCCCTGCCACCCATGACAGGCCCTCGTGTGTCATGTTCCCCGCCCTGTGTCCAAGTGTTCTCATTGTTCAGTTCCCTCCTATGAGTGAGAATATGTGGTGTTTGGTTTTCTGT